ATGGAATAATCTAGTTACATATCTATAACTATATAGCATCTTTTAATTTGATGAGTACCAAAGAATCACAAATAAAAAATACTCAATAGATAACCAAAAGAAAAGACATGACATGGTATATATAAGATTGGAAAAATTTTACATTACCACCAACCTACTCCAACTAAAGAGCCAAACCAAAATCTAGCTTACACTACTTCATATTTCGGAGCATGCCCTAGTGTTCCTAAAAATTGAAGAACAACAAAAATTACATTTACAAAACTTCATATTTTAATCAATAACTACTCAAGAAAGAGGACACCAAGTCCTCTTTCATTGAAGTCTAAAAAATAACAATTATAGCAAATAACAAAAAAGCTAAAATTTAAAGATGGCAAAAGCAATGATTTAAAGATGGAAAAAGCAAAGATGGCAAAAGCAACACAAGTAAGATTAGTCTATTATCCAAAATAGATGATTTAATAAAACTCACAAATTTCAAATCAATATCACTATTAGAATCTTTATATAAAATAAAATAGTTGCAAAAATTTTAGCCAACAAAATATTGAAATTTTGCTCTACATAGATCAATCACTTCCAAATGGCATTTGTGAAAGATCATTGCATCTTTGACAACATCATCATGGTAGTTGAAACAATGGATTGGACTACAAATAACAACCAAGAATTACTCTTGTTCCTCCTTGACTTCAAAAAGGCATATGATAAGATTTTGTGGTTGATGCTCTAAGATACAATACATAAAATGGAATTTTTAGAACAATGGATTAAAATTATTATGACCCTCAACAATGAAGCATATGCATTGATCATACTAAACAAGATATAAGAAAATTCATACTAATTAAAAAAATAAGTTAAGCATACTTGTCCATTCACATCTTACTAGTACATACTGATATGAGAGGTACTAAACTCCATACTAGAGAATCATAGCCGAGGACTTGAGAATATTCATTTACTAGGAAGACATATAACAACAAATATGATATATACAAACAACACAATTTTATACTTCACCAAAATAGAAGCCAATCTAAATATTTCTAAGGACATATTCATAGAATTTTGTGATGGATTTAGAGTTAGATTTAATTGGAACAAGTAGATAGGAATATAGATTGGAAGAAATAACAAGGACTGGACATAGCAAGCAGATTCTAGTCTAAAGTAGCTAATCAAGGAATAAATCACTTCATACTTGGGCTTCTCGAACAGCTTCAAAACAACACAAGAATAAGCTGGAAATAAAGCCATGGCAATGATCAATAAAACACTTATCATTTGAAATTTAAAGAACCTTTCTTTTGTTGGACACATCTTAACTACAAATCATGTGATTATGGTAACACTATAATATTTGTAGTCATGTGCACACATTGCTTCAACATGATTTTACCAAATTTGGATATTTATAAGGAACTATATATTGAGGGCTCTAATTGAATACAAAATAAGAGTCAAGGTGTCTTGAAATACCATCATAGAATCCATGGTTGTAAGAGGCGTCAAAATCTTTGATCATCAATTCTAAGTAAAAGCATTGATAACAAAGCTCTTAATTCAAGAACTAAAGCTATAATATAAGTCTTAGAAACTATTCATTTGATACAAAATAGAATGAATAAAAGCCATAAGGTTTAAACAATGGTCCACTAGCTTGTATTGGATCATGGACATACAAAAATAACTTTAGATGTTATACCAATCTGAACTACCATTATTTAAACAAAGTCTAAGATTAGCATAGAATTAGTTCAAGTTAAATCAATAACTCTTACAAAATGGCTTCAATAACCTCTCTTTGAATATCCATTGATAATTCAATCCAACAACAAACAATTAGATTTACAACATTATTCCACATTTGTTACTTGAGCTATCAATAACATCTTTGCTATTAAGGATATATAAAAGATGAACAACCAAGCTTGGAAAACTAATAAAGAGTTAATCTCTTTCTCAAACTCATAATTTATGCCCACCTAATATCCACTCATGATAGGGAGCATCTATATCATCAACACCAACAAAATATTTCTACTTTTATCCAAGGAATGGATGACCCTATAAGTACAAGGTATTATAAGTAGGATATTCTACCTACAAAGAAAAAAATATGATCAATGGCAAGCATTTGAATATATCAAAACAAGCACAAAAGAACTCATTTGGCAGCTAGGTTTAATCATATTATTGATTTATTTATTAGAAATAATTAAGGTAGTTAATATCCATGGCCTTTTTTATTTGATCATTGAATACAATTCTAAATTTGAACATATTGAAGGCTCCAAAGTATGGCTATTTGGAAATTCACCAATACTAAACCTATCATGGGATCTTTAAGATTGGAAGTAGCTATAGCTTAATACACTAAAGAAGGCCAATTTTTTTTGGATATAAAACTAAACATGGCTACGAAATGGTATTCTTCAACTAATGAAATACCATGTTGGAAATTGAGCAACTTTAAATAAGGGGCTATAGGAACCAACAAATTTAATAATTTATCTAAAAGGTGTAGCATCAATGGCTTTCAAGGAAAACCTTAGCCATAATATGGTTGATCCTAATAAGAGGATTACCTATTAGAGAGTGGAAAAAAAAGGCAAGGTAGGAAGGTCATTATAAGCTATATATGTCTAGTGAAACAAAGACAATGTTTTATGTATTATATGCATGCGTGCAAATTATAAACACATGAACAAGGCTCAAACTACTTTGTAGATTTGTCAATTTACTAAAAACTAAGGTCTTGTGGAAAAATACATTCTTAAAAGTCACTGATTCTCTAGACGACTAAAATATCAAAAAACTATATCTATAGGATTTATTAGGCAATAGTAAGATGTTTAATAATACGGCATGGGATATATTATGATGCAACCTTATTTCAAACATATGGATGGCCAAATGTGGATAAGAACTTAGCAAAAACATATTTAACATAGGTTGAATACTATACCATCCTTGAAAAACTAAAATTTAAGTAAGCATGGAAGTTTAGAAAAAAAAAATTAATACAAAAAAAATCTAGAGAAGAAAAAAGAGATAGTTGAGAATTTCCTAATCATATAGACCACTAATGACATCTTTACAACAACAAGATTGGAATCTAATTAGAAGCCTATATTGCCAAAGGTATTCTTTCTCCAACATGTAGCAATCCATATAACCCCAACTCTAGATATCTTGTCAATATACATTATTTTGTTGAATGGAAGTTCACAATACTTACATAATATATTTCAATGTTCAACTAATTGTACTTCTTCATTGTATAGCATCAATAAGGCCATCGACATATTTTTCAATAAAGTATGGATTAAATTAGAGAATAGATCATTTGTATAAAATCTATAGATAGATCACTAAACTACAACAAAGACTGCACATTGAGAAGATCATAAACAGAGGACACTAAACAATAATGAGACCTTAGAAGATCTTTTATAAATCAAACTAATATATGGAGATGAACAACATGGGTATCAATACAAAGAGATGGAAGCAAAGGGCATTCAATAGACCAACAAAGTAGAGCCACAATTTGATCTAGAGTCTATCTTGTACATAAGACTACTACAACTAAAATGACACCAAAGACTTCTCCAATAAGTCAATCACGGCCACTTAACAATTGAACTTATCAAGCACTTTAACTCAAATATTGTCAACTTCTTCCATGATGTACTCCAAAGAAAAATAGATGACTTGTTTGCGGAAGGAAAAGCGGAGCAATATAGAGAGGTTGTGATTGAAATTAACTTTGCTTTGTATACACAAAAAGAACAAGAAGACTTACTACACACAAGAAGCAAATTGATATAAGGCAATAAAATTGCATTCAAAATTTATACAAACACATCCTGCCATTTGCAAAGAAGAGACTTTTGTAGATGGATAGAAGATGGCTTAGGATATTTTAATCTATGATAGAAATACCCACAATAGATAATCCAAAATAAAATATTCATATAATAACCATTGATCTAGCCAATGGCCGTGTAAACTAGTGCCTTAATACAAAATTTGCAATCTTTGCATCTATAATCTTGATGGAGATTTCTTAATGTGATTTCTACCTTGGGTGTAAGAAATCAAGAATTCAGTTCTTTTAATATCTTAAGGATGTTGAGTCATTTAAAGCACTTGGTCTAGTAGTAAGATTCTCTCTTTAGATGCAAGAAGTTGCAAATTTGATTTTTACAGCGCCTTGCATGAATTATTATAACTATGTCAAAAAAAATGCAAATAAAATATCATGATATTCAAACTAGTATACAATATTCACAGTTTTAAATGTAGATTTTATGTGAATAACCTACATTACAATTCATTTTTCCATTACATACTTCAAATTTTTATTGCTTAAATTTGTGCATTACATCCATTTAAATGTTTACTTAAATATTTATCTATTGTTTGATATAAAAAATGAAACAAACTGAAAAAAAAATTCAAAATATGCATCTAAAAAAGATGAATATCTGGTCACAAGCTTCGTAATTATCTATTTACTTGTCAACAAAATAATATAGATCAATAACAAAAGCACTAATACATGATTACATACATATAACTATTTGCTCTAGTTTTTAGTTTGATGTAAGTTATTAAGAGATATTTCTAATTTTCTTTTTTTTCCTTTTTTTATCAACCACATTAAATCCAATACATGTCCTAATGGTGGCACAAACATCAATTTATTTAATGCAAACCCTAAGAAGAATAGGCCTTATTATTCAAAACATTATAACACAATAAGATATGCATGTATGTATGTATATATATAAAGAATAAGTTATGAAGTATTAAGTAAAAACCGAGAAAATTCAATGGTTTCAACACATTTGTCAATCTAATACATGTGACCTTAGGGCGGTGACCGAGAGGGCGGAGGACGTGAGCGGGGGGGGGGGGGTGTCGAAGAGGAGAGCACGTTACCATCACTTCGGGATGCCCACGAAATTAGGGTTTGCAGGATCTATTTATGCTGTTGGTCTTTTCTTAGAAATCCATGCACTCTTGGCATACCCGACTCAGGAAAAATCACTCTGCCCAGATCCACTTCTCCTCTCCTCTCCGCTCCGCTCTCAGATCTCGCCCCTCTCTGACTCTGCTGCTGGGTTTTCTGATATATCTTACGGGTGCACAACGAGTTGTTTGTGTTCAGTCTACCCACGCTTGCCTTCATTCCGAAGATTGCTGTTGTTGACACGGCTTTTGTGGAAGTGAACATCCGAGTTTGGTGCCTCTGTTGTGGAGTGATTTCTAGAGGAAAATGGCGGAGCAGACTGTCACCGTCTTCGGGCCCGCATTGGAGTTGATGAAGAGCGTTAAGTCGCCGGAAGGAGAGATGCTCACGAAGCCTTTTCTTGACGTCTGTCGGAATGTGTTGCCTGTGATCGGTGTGTTTTCTCAATTGGTTTCGGCTCTTTTGGCGTTTGTAGATTTGAAGAGGCTTTTTGTTGTTCTGTTTTGCGTTTCTTCACAGGGGAGTGCTATGTGGTTCGGTGAGTTTCAGGACGTGTGGATTACAATTTATGTTATGGGTGATGCGATTTTCGGTGTGATTTAATGAAGTGAGATCTGATATTGGGCTGGCTTTTCTGTGCCTTTTCAGACAAGTTTGGGAGTTCCATGGCACTTGTGAAATCTGATGTTGGCGGCAACATTTCGGTATTGTCTTGTTGCTTCAATTTTACTTGAGCATGAAAATAAACTTCGATCCTCGTAGTTGTAGGTGAATTGCACTCAATGGCATGCCGTATTTTGCAGCTGTTGGCCGTAGGAATGCACAATTGGGTACGCGTTGGTTTCACTAATCTAAATGAGTCATCATCTGTTTTTTCAGAGACTGGATGCCAAGTACGACAGTGATCCATCGGCGAACAGCCTGCTGTATGACATTGTCCGTGCTGAAGTTGCTGCTAAGACTGCCAAGGGTTCATCAAGTTGCAGTAATGGAATGCTATGGTTGACCAGGTAAGATCTCATTCATTTCATTTCTGATTTCTCAACGTCTGGATCATTAGTGGCGGCGACTGGAGCACTTTTGACTGGAATGCACCTAGCGATATATACTTTTTTTGGTTCCCTTGTGGTACGGCATGTCTGAAATTGTGTATTCTTGTGGTCGCCTCAAATGTTTTCGGTGTACCAGACTCCACGGTTGTCAGATTGCAGTCTCAACAGGCATCGGTGTAATGTAGTGACGTTTCTATTTCTCCTGTGGCCTGGTAGGTTTGTCAACTGGCTTCAATTGGCTGGTAGTTTTAAATCAAGACAACTGTGCATACTCTTGATTGCTAAATATACATATTTTCATTGTGTTGATGTCCACAAGTGTTAAATTGGATGCATGTATCGTTGTGATGGGATGACCTATGTGGTGCTTCAATTACGTAGGCAGGGTGTGAATACAACGTCATTTGGGCGTCATAGTTTGTTTTGCAATAAGTCCGTATAGATGAATTAGGGAAGCAATTATTCTTATATTAATTATCTCTTTGTCCATCACAGAGCTATGGATTTCTTGGTGGAGCTTTTCCGGAATTTGAATGATCATTCCGACTGGACTATGTCTCAATGTGCTACTGCAGCCTATACATCTACACTTAAGAAATATCATGGATGGATTGCAAGTACCGCATTCACGGTATGTGACGATTCCTTCTGTGTTGGCTACGAATGTTGGCTATGAAAAAACCACAGTTACACTTGCGAAGAGATTCGCTGTTTCCTGCCTATCACAATACTCAAAGCCTTGTAAACGGTAATTCTGTAGGTTGCTATGAAACTGGTACCCGAGCGATCCAAATTTTACGAAACTTTGGCTCTTGGCAACTCTACTGCGGATATGGAGCGATTTGTTACTGAGTTCTCGCCAATATTGGCGGAAAATCACGAGTTTTTGGTAAATATCATTGGATTCTCCCGTTTCATTTTTTTTTATTTTGTAGGCTGACATTTTTGTCACTGTTCATAAGTTCCATCGTTGTCGAGATGACCCTTAAATTGACTCTGGCTGGTAACGTGTGCAGAAATCCGTGAACTTGGATGACCTCAAGGCATCATAAGATGAGCGCTAAACTACAGGTTCAGTTCTCGTAAGATGAGAAGAGCTTTTTCAGGTTACTGGTCTACTCATGTCGCGGGAACTGCTCTTATGCTGGCGGTACTCTGGACATCCGTTGACATTGATGCTATAGTCAGCCTTATGATTTTGATTTGATTGCGTGAGTTTGTGGAGAGAATTAGTACAATAGAAAGGAATGCACGTTATTCTACCATCTTATTCACGTTCTGTAGCTGTAGGCCTTTACGACATTTCATATGTCGTGTATATTCGTGTACTAAGTTCCCAATTATCTCATCAAGTTTATACTATCGTTGCAAAACGCAGGAAATTCCTTTTAGCATCTTTGTTTGGTGGAGTATGTGTACAGTTGTTCACTTGCACCTTTTTTTAATTGGGAAATATGGTCTAGCTCTCTCTGCCTTCAGTACTTTTGTCCTCAAATCTGTACGTGCTGCTATAAATGTAGCTATGGTTGTATTTCTGCTTAATCCTTGCATTGAGAAAAATAATGCATTTTATTCTACACCTAACAACTCGGATATGCAAAGTGCATATGCCAAACATGTGAGGGAGCATTGACAATATTAGCCAGAACAAATTATGCCAACCTTTACATTTACCCTCCGATTGCTTCAGATATAGACTACGCCATTTTCTAAGTACAAACAGATTTATTCTGCTGCACTATAAATAGTCACGACAGTATCGCTACTCATCATCAATATTCTATCTAGAAGTAATGTGGAAAATTATAAAAATACTAATGTGTATCAACACTTTCCCCAACTTATCTGCCGTTTTACACATATAACTTAGTTGAATAATATAAACGCAGAGCAATCTACACATTACAATGTCCAGTACCTCAGCGCCGGCGACTGTATCTGTTAGCATGTTAATTAAGCTCATAACGTCTAGATTACTATCCAAACCCACGACCAATTCAAAATAAGGGTAGTCAACCACGAAGTTTACATTGGGTCAGCCATCCAGTGGATCCAGAGAGACGAAAAGATGTATAAGTTAAAATTTCAGACTAATTGGAAATCTACTGCTAAAAAGTATAACATCATATTCCTACTAAACTGAAGCTTTGGGCTTGGAAGTAGTTGGCAACATCGCAGTTGAACGCTTGACATTTGACCCAAAAAAATGGTTCCGTCTAAAATCAAGAGCGGCATTTACTGCTGCGGAATTAGGTCTCGCTTTCAGCGACATGATTTGAACCCTGCAAGCCCAAAAACAACTAGAAACTCAATAACGATATGTTTCAGTTAGAAATCTCAAATGGTACAATATCAAAACAACAAGCACGAGAACACGAGTTACAGGACAGAAACTTGAGACAACTCAGAGAATCCATGAACCGATTAGCTGGAGAATCAGGCACTTCACATACCTGCTATCCGTGGGAGCCGCATCATCCGACTTTGAAGCCTTGTCAATTTTCGGCTCATCTTCGATATACTGATGTTTAGCTTGACCAACACCCTTACCTACTTGCCTATTACGAAGTGAAATGACTAATTAGTAATTGAATTCTGTGGCTTAATTTTAAACAAATGACAAACCAGATCCAAAGGAACATAATTTGAAGTCTCATCCACATGCAAACACAAAAATATATACAAACTACACGAGAAATTAAAAGCTAGTAGACCAGGCTGTACATCATAAAGATAAACAGCCAACATGCATCAGAAAAAAATGAAATCTATACACATGTATTCACTTCCTGGGAGGGAGAAGGCACGTACTTTTCACTGGCTTTAAGAAACTCCACAACGCTGTCGTCTAACATAACCGAGCTAAGGTCTTGCCCGTTCGATTCCTCACCAGAACTCGCTCCATCAGATTGCTTCCCTTTCCTTGTGCGACTTCTTTTCTTTTCCGGCAAAGTAACTATCTCACTATCCCCTTTTGAGTCAGTGTCCTGATCAACGTCTAAGCGTCGCTCCTTCTTCCTTTTCTCTTCTCGGGCCTTGCGCTTCTCTTTCAATTCTGTACCTAATCTGGACATAAAATCCTTTCAATCAGAACAGTAAAAGAATCCGCAGGAATTACCACCACAACGGCTTAAATTGAGCTCTAGCTGCTCATTAAAAACGAACACACGAAATTCAGCAAACAGTACCTTTTCTTGTTCTCTGTCTCCTTCCTCCGCGACGTCTTCGCTTCCTCCCGACCCTAATCACACGATACAAACCGAACAGTGATTTGATTTTGTTCTTTTTATTTTTTGTGTGACCACACTAGACAACAATACAAATAAAAACATCACATTATATTACGAATAGCCACACAATCCCTGAATGAAAGCTCCGCCGAACACAAGAAACGATAAATTACACATCCAAGTGCCAGCGCCAGTGTACCTGATGCAAGGTCACCTCCTCCGGTGCGTCAGAGTCATCGCTGATCAAGGGATCCGCCATGAAGTCAACAGTCTGAGTTCGTGGTCACTAGCAGCAATGTCGCGTCTTAGAGTAAGTCAAATCCTCGGCAACTGAAGGTAATGAGAAGCAACAACGTTTTCGAACAGCACCTGTAGTGGAAGCCTTGGCAGACTGCAAACCCTAAACCCTTGGACATGAATTATCGTCGTTTGTTCTTTCGTTCGTTCGTTCGTTTTTTTCGTTCTCGTTCTCCGTCCACAGGGGAGGAGCTAATTACGTCGTTCTCGATGGGGAATAATGTTGGGATATTTTTATTAATATCCATGTGATTCTAACAATGCCCTCATCCTGTCGTTCTGTACATGATGTTTATTTCATTTGGTTGATACTTTTAAAACTGAATACTATGTATCCTATACTATACTATACTATATTATGTATTAATATCGTAAGAAGTGAAGCATTGAATGTTTTATACTATGCGCAATAAAAAAAAACTATTATTGTGGGTTGATTTCTAATTTATGTTCATTCGTTTTATTTCAGAACATCATGTCATGGTCTCTTTGATATTACATGTACATCAATTTAAATATTATACACATGATACACTAGTTTGGCAAACTCACTGCACTAGCACGTTTGCAATTAACCACATATTTAGTATTTCTAGGCTATGATAAATTCATTGTTTGAGGGACATCTGTCATAAAACTTACGTATGTCATATATTTCATAACGAGGCAATATTTTTATTTTTATTTATTTTTCCAACAAAGTTACCTGTTTGTGTCATTTCTGTGTCCCATCAGTGCCTGCGCCTCTATTAACACCCACCATTCTACAAGTAATTAATTGAATGAAAAACAATGCTCATTCAAGTCTTGAAATATGAAAAAGAATCTATTCACTTCTTGTTTTCACCTCAAAAGAATCGTTTCATTCGAAGATGAAAAAATATATGTCAGTTGCACTTTCTTAAAATAGATGTTTCAGTTACACTTCCTTTCTTCTTTTTGTTTATCTAAGAAAAAAAACTAGATATATATATATATATATACACACACACATAAACGATTGCTTCTCTCTCGATAAATAATAAATATAAATATATATGGTTATATATATGTAAATACCATTGCCATATCAAGGTGATTCAGGGAAAGACCACTCGGTTTTGAGTCCAAAGCGGAAATGGGCACCGTAGGTGACGTGGGCAGGACATCCACGAGGCAGAAGGAGAGAGGTCCGTGTGGAATCAGGCAGGAAAGGACAGAAAGGGCGGGGAATGGAGCGATAGCGCAGGGGGCACCCACTTCCTCCGCTCCACCGCTTTGCAACCCCGAAACCCTAATTTTCTCACTCACTCATTCCCGCCCGTTCTCCACCCCGTCAGGCCCGCATCTCTCTGCTCAGGGCTTGCATCTCGCGCTGCCTTCCTTCCGCGTGCCTTCGTTGTGCACAGGCAGGATCGTCTCACGCGACGTGACTGCCGAGTGCTTTACACTCACATTGTAGTTCCATTACTGTCGCGTTGGAGTTTGCCGAGCTGAGCAGTCCGTCGAGGATGTGGATGCTGGTTTTTCCTCAATCCGGGCTTCGCACTCTCTCGGAGCTGCTCTAGGTTGTGGCGTTCCGTCTAGGTACGCATCCGTTTTCGCCTCTAGTTTCTATTCGCTTTGTTTGCCTGCATGTGGAGTTTTGACCTTTGTTTACTTCGTGTCTTTCATGTCCTTGAAGATTGTATGGTTTAGATTTTTCTTATCTACACTGTGCGTGTGTTTTGTTTTGTTTTTTTCTGTTCGCGTTCATCTTTGTCTTGGTCCGTGTGTTTTTCCCCTTCTCCCCCCCTCCCAATCATCCTTTTTTCTCTTTCTCCTGATTTTGTTCCCTCCTTTCTTTTTACTTTCTTCCTCTTATTCTTTATTTTAATTTTTTACTTTTTAAATTACAATGAAATATATATTTTCTTTTAGTTTTTCTTTTTAATTCTATCAGTGCCCCAACATTGTAGACGCTGTTATCATAGTTCTGCTCGTGCTTTTGGGTTTTGGAACGTAACCTTACGTAAGGTGTGCATGAATTCAAGCAGGATTCTTGTCTGGCAGCGTCTAGGTCCAGCTAGTTGAACTAGCACAATGAGCGAGCTCCCGAGTTCAAGTAATGGAGGCGAAGGCCGTGTTGTGGCAAGAATTTCCGTGAAAGACCGCCTGGGTCCTCTTCCATCGTCGTTCAAGCGCCGGGATAGAAGCGCCGAAAGGCCCAATTACAGACGAGGACGAAAATCCTCAAAATTTGCGAAAGCAACACCTACTGATATGTCCGACGGTTCCAAACCTGCGGAGAAGAGAATACCCGTGCGGGATCGATTAGGTCCTCTCCCTGCAGAAGACCAATCTTTCGATACGAAGAAATATCAAGTGCATCTGATTAACCGTCAGGATAAGGTTTGGAAACTCCATCCGGACAAGGATGGGCTATCACAGCAACCCGAGAGCAAGGAGGTGGAACCGAATCTGACTAGCCTGGCATCACAGGATTTCAAGTCAGTAAAAGCCCCTTTTCCCTTAGCTTCTCTTCCTCCTTCTCAACCGTTCAATGTCGAGCAACATCGAAAAGCTTGGACATGGGTGAGACCATCAAGCAATGCTACTTCGATGGACGTCGACCAATCCTCATGAACAGATTGACTCAATGCAGTAGCTCCTGACTTTGTACTATGCCTTCTAGTATCACGAGAGATTCAGTTATGACGGCATTTGTCCTTCCTTTTTTCTTCTGGGAGATTCTCTACGCAGCCTTTTCCCGTCATGTACAGGATGATACTTGGAATATTTATCATGGAATAGGATGAACATAGTCTAACTTGTTTTGTTACCATTTGTACCACGCTTGACAGTGCATAGAATTTTTACCCGAGGTATTTATTCTACAGGAAGCTTATGGCAATGGAGTCAACAGTATTTGGAATCCTTTTTGTTTTGAGGGATTTCTTAGGTTTCCATAAGATATCAAAAAATGTGGAGTTTGGCAGAGTCTGTTCACTGAGAATGAGTAACACTATTTTGTGACTGAGGATGCGCAGGTGTGGTGGTGATGTTGACAGAGAGAAGCTAAATGCCGTGTGCAAGTTTGAGAGGGCATGTTGTGACTCAATCTTTCGTCAATGAAACATGCCCTATTCCAATGGATACTTGTGTCAGTTGGTTGAGGGAGTTCGTAATTGTTTGAATGGATTTGTTGGTGATTTGTGTGAGAAATAAGGATTGCGCAAACGGCTTCTATGAACTGGGAGTGTAACATCTCGACTCCGCGACTTTTTTGTGTTTCCCTAACTCATTGGCAGAACGCCTTTGTTGTACTTTGCGGTTCTGCAAGGTTGCAATTTCATGCTCAGTCCGTAAAATCCCATTTCATCTTACAGAGGTTTCAGAACGTTAAAGTCTGATCCGAAATAGCCTGAACATGTTCCTAGTCTTAGTTTTGTAGTTCTTCGAAAACACCACAATTTTTTTGTTTAATTAAGGTGATCGCAAGTGAACGCCCGTAAACTTAGGTGGTAACCCTTCATAAGATCATATCCACCATACTCAACCATCTTTAACTTGCTCTCTTCGGCTCCCCTCTAGATAATTTCAATTGACTGTCTTGAAGTACCAGCATCACAGAATTATATGCATACACTGATTCAACTAGATGAACCCAATACATTCTAAATTAACCAGAGCTCGGCTGAAACTCGTGGGTAAAAAGACCCTACTCCTCCACCTCGTTCCATCTCAAATCAGCATCTCCAAGATCAACACTGGAATCGAACAGCTGATACGTTTTCTATTGGAGTGGAACAAACCATGAGAGTATGCCAGAAGAGGCACTAAAATGGGCGCTGACACCCACTAAGTCGCATCATGCCACATGAATTTGAGGCAATTATCAACTTGTCCCGCTGTGACCCAGAAAATGCCGTGGATTTCCGATGCCAGGACAATGTTTTTGCTATATGAGGGATCTGGAGACTCTGGTTTTCAAATTCTCTCCCCACTCTTGCCTATCCACCCTTCCCAGTTTCTGAATTCAGTTGTTGCCGCTGATGCTTGTGCCTGGTGCTTCGGAGGTGGACCTGGGTCAGATCAACAAATTCTCTTTGAACTCTAAGCAAACAAAGACTTTTAAGCAGGCAAGATCTTGAAGTTCAACCTGTTGCACAATTCTAAAGGTGGTTTGACAAAAGTTTCTAGATGGTTTGACAAAACAAAGGCTGCTCCATACAAATAGTTTCCACCATTTTGCTACTGTTTGATTGCAGAAGTTTGTCAATTGATGTAGCATCATGAAGCCAAATCCAGTCAAATAGATGTAATCTAGTTTAGTTAAGTGAGTTTTCTCCCCCTTAACATTTTCCATTAGTTGATTTTATTAGTGTCAACTAAGGGTTGAAGATTTAGGTGGAGAAACCTCCTTGACTTGACATTCTGGTCAAGTTAAAACTTGTAAGTGGTTTTAAAAATGAGAAAGCATTTGTTGTAAGGTTTTTCTTGATTATGATAATTAGTCTTTTATTAGAGTTTTTAGGATTTTTTCTATATACACTTATATTTTTAGATTCTTTGATTGTAGTGTGAAAGATAGTTTGACTTAGTGGTGTTTAGATTTTTTAACTTTTATTTAATAAAAATGTTATCATAGACATACATATTTATTCCAATAATTACCCATATGATTAAATATAAGTAGATAAAAATATATTAATTTTATAATAATTTCTAAAAAACTTCATAGACACTGCTTTGACTTTACACATGTTTGTAGTTAATTGATAGGTTAAAAACTTAGTCAACAAATTAGCTACACATCACACATGTTGATAGCTTGTGGAAGAAGCTAACTATATGGTGCACATGTAGAAAAGTTGCCTTGTAAGTTAAGACATGTATCTAACAAAGTCAACACGTGTTATAGAACATCACCACGTAGCTCTTAGTTAGATAGTACATATACATGCAAAAGTGAAGTCTTCTTCACTCTTGTCAATGTCTTTTTAGTCTTTAGTCTTATTTCAAGACTTTCTAGTCTTCTTATCTTTGGTAATAGCTATTCTAATTTAATTTATATCATCTTTGAGTGATTATCTAGTCTTTTTGAATGACATAAGAATGTTTTGATCTTTTATTTCTTCAAGACTCATGTCCTTGACAATTTGGCAAGAATGCTAGCTCATTATTCTTGTCTTATTTTAGAAGCAAGTAGATTACTTTATTTCTATTTTTGTATTTTGAAAGTTAAAAACTATCCATTTTTTATCATTAATTTTTCCTTAAAAGGATCTAATCACTCTTCTTTGTGGAAATTTTCATTTGATATTAGAGATTACAGATTACCTTCTTCTAATTTGACTTAAGGATTTACTAAGTTATTTGAAATTGAAGAGAAAATTATAGATGCTACACTTGGCAAAAGTGAGAATAGATTTACAACTATTGCACATCTTTACGAATTGGATAACACTTTTAGAGTGGAAATTTCATGCAACATCAATGCCAACCATTGAAGTACTATTCCTACATCCATAAAAGAAGTCAAAAGCCTATGCCAAAAAGTTGTGTAATTGAAAGAAGCAAGTAAATTAGCCTCAAAATCTAATTCAAGTAATTTTATTTTTATAAGTACAAAAGAGAGAAAGATTAGTATGTCTAAGAAATTTGATGGAACAAGATCAAAATTTTAAAGATTTTTGCAACAAGTTAAGCTCTATATAAAGTTGCATCCTTTTTAATATTCCAATGAATTTACTCAAGTTAGATTTATAGACATACTTTTTTTTAGAAGTGCTCAATTTTGGTTTATATCTTTGTTGGAAAATAATTCACAATTCTTTTATAATTTGAATTCATTCTTAGAAGCATTTACAGCATTATTTGGAGAAAGTGATTGAGAAAGAATAGTAGAGACTTTCTTATTTTTATAATAAAGATCATAGTTAGCTACCATATATGTTGTTGAATTCCAAAATCTTGCTTGCAATATGTATTAAAATGATAAAGCCTTTATTAATCAATTTTAATATGTATTGAAGGATAATATCAAAGATTTATTATCAACAATGCCAAGTATAGAGTTTTTAAAATAATTTATTGCTTAAGCCATTGCATGTAATAATCAACTATTTGAAAGGTACCAAGAATAAAGATTTGATTGAAGAAGAAAAAATCAAGTAATAATAGCAATTCTTAAGCTTTCAAAAACTTATTCATAAAGGCTAGAACCAATATAAATTGAAACAATATATTTTAAATCTCTTAGTAAAGAAAAAAAGACTTGATATCATGAAGAAGATTTATGCTTATATTTTAGAGAAGTTAAATACATTGCTTAATATTTTCCAAAGAAACAATATAATTACAAAATGAGGAGTATAATTTTTAAAGAAGATAATGTGTCAAAAAACAAATTGCTCTAGTTATAATAGACACTATGCAACTGAAATCATATGTAATACCTAGTAAAGGTCTTATTTTCTTTTGAGATCTTTCACCTTATTTTATAATAGATGTATATTTAGGACTTAAAAATCATAATGTCTTTGCTTTAATAGATTTAAAAGCCTCAATTTATTTTATAGACAAAGGTTTTGTCAAAAATCAAGAAATATTATTAGCTAAGAAAACTAAACTTGTACATGTAGAAGTTATAGATGGTTTGTTATTTTCTATGGATGCTACCCATGAAACTATTCTTTTAGATGTAGAAATTAAAGATCATAATAGTCTAGTGATATTTAATATGATAAGATCTTCTTTCAATTTAGTTATTTTAGAATTATCATCGTTGTCGTAATATGTGAAGTCTTGCTTGAGAATGCTCCGGGCACCTGACTGTGGAAGGTAGAATAGAAATTGCAACAACAAAATCCTAACTCTAATAAAATACTAACTAAATTCTAATTAAACCATAATAATACTAAGCAAGCTTTAATCAAATTCGAAGAAATCTCAAAGGAATTACAAAGAAATAATAAGAAATCTTAAAGAAATATTTGAATGATCACAAATATATCTCAAATACATCTCAATTCAATCCTAATTTAATCCTAGTTAAAATCCTATTGGACTTCATTCAGACTTTAGGATAAAAATAATTAAATCTTAAATCCTAATCTAACCCTAATAAAATCCTAAATCCAAAATCAAATCCTAACCAAATCCTAAATCAAACATTAATAAAATCTTAAATCCTAAATCAAACTCTAAATTCTAAACCAAATCCTAAATCCTAAACCAAATCCTAACCAAATTTTAAATCCTAAACCAAATTCTAAATCCTAAACCAAATCCTAAACCAAATCCTAAACAAATTCTAAACCCTAAATCAAACCCTAAATCCTAAACCAAATCCTAATCAAACCCTAGTAATTTCTACAACAGATTTAAACCTCAATAACTAATGAATGAACTATCGATTTTAATTCAAAATTTTCACACTTCTTAAAAACTAAGTTGAAAACAAGCACAAATTTTTTAAAAAGGATCAAAATTACCAAATAGACAATAACCTCAAAAACGTGCTTGGGTATTGGCCGGCCTCCTTCTCCAACCTTGATGCTAATCTCTCAGAGCCAATATCTCTTCTTTTCACCGTTCGATTGATCTCAAAATTCTCAAACATATAGAAAAACAAGTCTAATATCCTTACACATAAATTTCACTCCAATCCAATTGGTAGATTGCAAGAAATCTTAAAAATCTTCACTAGATTTAAAATTCTATTTTTTGAGACCTTAACTCACTTAAACCTCAATAACCTTCAATTTAACTATTATATCGAGCTAAGATTCACAAGAAATATTAAGCACAACTATGACCATTAATCCACAAAATTTCACCTCTAGATCAATTACAAAATTCTTGAAATTACTAGAAATATCAATCCTATTTTATTTCACAAACCCCAAGTCATCCAAAAACAAACTTGACTTTTTAAAGCTCTTACAAAGTCATAACAAATCCAAATCATCCAAATCCAATGCTCATAGAAACCTTATCTAGTCTGCTATCAAATTCCACTCTCCGATCTGCAAAAGAACCCTCGAGTTGTCGTAGGTACTCAGTTTTATGCCTTAGTATCTGATTTCGACCCAGATTGATAACCGGCCCTCCTCAGGTATCAATATTTAGTTTTTCTTTTGCTAGAATTT